GCTCTCCGGACTCCGTTTTCGTACACGACACGTATTTTGGTCGGTAAAAATTCATTATATAATCTCCCGGGGGTTTTGACTCCCGTATCACGCAATTATCCTCTGTTTTGTGTTTCGAGTTGTTGCTGCTGCAGATTAGAGCAAGATGTCTTTGCAAGAGTCAGTCAGGGAGAGCCGGGTGTCTCACCCAGCACTGAGATCAATGACAAACAACAATGTTGACCTCTTTGGGCCAGCAACGAAGGAAGAGATGGAGGCCGAGTTGAAGAGGATAGATGCCATGGAAGAGGATCAAGAAGTCACTTCCTGCTTCCGAGCTGGATTCACAATAGGAGAACTGTAGAGCTCGGCTATTCCAAACTCGGTTATCCCTTCCAATGTTAAATTTCTTTCTTATGAGAATATGAAAAAGAGTGTCATTGGTTCTCCCGCAGCTATGCAGCAACCTTGGGTGCAGGGAGCTTTGGCTGTTACAGGAAAACTCCGAAAGGAAATAATGGACCTCAAGCAGCAAGTCAATAAGCTAGAGGAGGAGAATCGTATCCTGAGGGGCATCATCACCAAGAATATCACATCACCACCCCCTAAAAGAGAGACATAACACATGGGTATGGGCACTCCACTTGGCAACTGCCAAGCTTGGGGGAGTGCCCCGGTACCGTATCACCATCACTTTATCTTTACCGTTTTTCTTAGTTCGATCCTTTTGGTAATATCTTGATCTAGTAGAATAAAAGTTCTTAGTATGATCTAGTTGTGAGTTTTGCTTTATTATCCTTCTATGTAATCGAGTCCGTGAGCTATATAATAAAGATTAGTGTTGAGTCAAGGGCTTGATTACTTTGCCATGATCCTAATTGAATAAAAGAAAAGAGAAAGAAATAAAAAGAAACAAAGAGATCATGTGAGTCTTATGGAGAGTAATGAGCTCACATAGAAAGAGTATGATGAATAAAAGTTGTTGATGGTTGACAAGCACAGTTTTGGTCATCGTTGCAATTAATAGGAGGCAATAAAGAAAGAGAGGTCTTCACATATAAATATACTATCTTGGACATCCTTTATGGTTGTGAGCACTCATTAAAATATGACATGCTAAAGAGTTGACATTGGACAAGGAAGACAACATAATGGGTTATGATTTTCTTACATCTGAGATGAATTATATTGTCTTGGATCTTCCAACATGATGAGCTTGCTTGTCCCCCTCATGCTAGCCAGATTCATTGCACCAAGTAGAGATACTACTTGTGCTTCCAAATACCCTTAAACCAGTCTTGCGATAAGAGTACACTATATCTACCTATGGATTGAGTAAGATCCATCAAGTAAGTTGTCATCGGTGCAAGGAATAAAAATTTCTCTCTAAATATGTATGATTGATTGGTGTGGAAGAAATAAGCTTTATACGATCGTGTGATATGGAAGTAATAAAAGCGACAGACTGCATAATAAAGGTCCATATCACAAGTGGCAATATAAAGTGATGTTCTTTCGCATTAGGATTTTGTGCATCCAACTATAAAAGCATATGACAACCTCTGCTTCCCTCTGCGAAGGGCCTATCTTTCACTTTTATCTCCTACATTGTATAAGAGTCATGGGGATTTTCACCCTTCCTTTTTATATTTTATCCTTTGGCAAGCACAATATATTGGAAAAGATCCTGGTATATATGGCTAATTGGATGTGAGTTTTCATGAACTATTACTGTTGACATTACCCTTGAGGTAAAACGTTGGGAGGCAAAACTATAAGCCCCTATCTTTCTCTGTGTCTGATTAAAACTCTATACCCATAAGTATTGCGTGAGTGTCAGCAATTGTGAAAGACTATATGATAGTTGAGTATGTGGAATTGCTAAAAAGCTCTTATACATTGACTCTTTCCGATGTTATGATAAATTGCAATTGCTTCAATGACTGAGATTATAGTTTGTTAGTTTTCAATGAAGTTTACGATTCATACTTGATATTGTGATTGAATTATTACTCTAGCATAAGAGATCATATGACAAGAATTATATAAGTTGTTGTTCTAAGAATGACCATGATGCTCTCATGTCCGTATTTTATTTTTATCGACACCTCTATCTCTAAACATATGGACATATTTTTCGATTTCGTCTTTTCGCTTGAGGACAAGCGAGGCCTAAGCTTGGGGGAGTTGATACGTCCATTTTGCATCATGCTTTTATATCAATACTAGCACATATGCCCGTGCGTTGCAATGGAAGACTTCAAGGGACGTGAATCAGGCTCGGAGACATGTGCTTTACTACTGAGGAAATGCATGTTGCTATGAATAAGTGGTGGCAAAGTCGATAACTGGGTCACGTGACACATGTTGCTGATGACAATAACAATGGACCGATTTATTGTAGGGTCACTAATGATGCCACAGCCTGAATAGATTTTATGCCATGCAACTTGACATCATTGGTCAAACATAGTACGTGCTAGATATACACATTAATTACTGTATAGGCATTTGGATAGTGGAGATTGCTTGAATACGTCAAACTATTGTTTTTATATTAGTGTACACTCTAATAAATTCACAAGCTTACTAATAGGCATGACAAGAGTAATGCCAATTTTTTTGTAAAGAAGTGCATCAACACAAAGTTTTCATATTTCAAAGAAAACTAACTTTCATCAGCTTGAAAGTGTGCAGCGTTTCTAGATTGAAGCTGAACGTGAAAGCTTCCATCGATATCGCTCTGCTCCAAGTCCTTTGATCTACTCCAAGTTGTAGATGGATCGCTCGCTCTGCTTCAAGTCCTAGACGAATCGGTTTTTCAGCAGAAAAAATATTAAAATCAGATGTGTTTTAGAACTAAAAGGAGTGGCTTCTAATTAAAAACTTCCATGAGAGCGGAGCATGTCCTTTTGGTTTCAGCAGCAGGATTCAATCTCTCTTTTTTCTTTTCTTTTTTGGATCCATTTGCTTCCTTATTTACCTACCCCGGCCCCCTCTTGCCTTTTCTTTTCTCTGTGACTTTGGATTCAATTCCATTTGCTTCCTTCTCATTTTTACCTATTCCATTCTTTTCTTTTCTTTTCTGTCACAAACTTGAAATCCCTCTTTCCATTCCTTAATTTCCCCTCTTTTCCTTCCTTATCCGGACAACTCATTTCCTTCCTTATTATTGATTCCCGAAATTGTTCCTTGATACCCAGGAAACTCGAAGATCTTTTTAAATTACGAAGCTTGGATTGAAGGGAGCGATGTGGGATTATCTAGCTTAGTTGGTTGTATCATGAGTTGTTAGGCGTGAGGCTGCGAGTTCGATTCCGTGCACTGTTGGGCTGGGCGGGCCGGAAAAATAGGCGGGCTGTTCACCTTCGATTGCTTTTTCATTGTTCGCCTGCGTGGGCCGAAAAAATAGGTGGGCTGTTCACCTTCGAGTGGGCTTGGAAACCAGGACATCGATTTATAAAAGATCGAGCGACTCGATCGAGTCTGATCTGACCTACGACGGACGAAACGAAAATTTATGGGACGCACGAAACGGATGAAAATTTAGGAGGAAGAAGCAATAGCCCCTTTATTATTAGGGTAAAGATAAAGATAAAGATATAAAATAGAAAAAAGGTAAAATGGGCCGGCCCATAGCTGAGGCCGGGTGTGCGCTGGTTTGCAGAATACATATCTTGAGAAAGTAGGCCGAGCTCTGGTGCCCCTCGAATTTGGGAGCCCATCGACGGCCCTATTCTTCGCTCTAGTGTCGGCGCCATCGCCATTCACGTTCTTCCTCATCGCGCCCCTGTCGCCTCCACCCCATGTCCCCATCCGCTAGCTTTGGCCATTGCCCATTGGGTTTCGAGGTTCATCTATCAATCCCACTGACCTCCAGGATTTCTGCAATTTGTAGGTTTTGTGCGCAGATCCCGAGTCGTTGCATACAGATCTGACCTGCAGCCCACGGTGGTGGTCACATCTTCGGTTGTTGAAACCACGGTTGGACCTCATGCCTCGTATCTCCTTCGCTTCCTTAAATTTGATGTGAATTAAATGGCTGATCATCATCCAGCAAAGGGCACTCTAGTATGTGCTTTTATATGACAGTTACATACATTGCTATTCTGAATTTCAACTACTGCTGTTTCTTTTCTTTCTTTTGTTGGATTATTGCTGGGACCCTTGTGGGTTTTCTTCTCACAAGTTTATTTCTTTCAAGGTGCTTGAATGGAGATACGTACAATACTAGTTCCTAACTGATATCACCAAGAATTCGTGTCCGTTGAAAATAATAGCTTTATTTAAGCTTCACACTTCTTTCTGTGCGAAAATGAGACCTGTATATTGGTTAATTTGTTCAAGTTCTACAATTGCTATGCATGTAGGCTTTAATCATGTTATGTATCAGAACTAGTGCTATGTACGGAATGCTTACATTTAGTTCTCTTGGCATGTCCGTAACCTGTGTTAACTACTTCATGTTATATGCGGAGGGAAGGAGCTTTTTATTTAATTTGCAGGACATGTGTTGATTTTGATTAAAAATATGAAGAAGTTTGTCATCATTGTGTTCAACATCAGTGCTTGAACGGTGCTTATAATGTCAAATTTATTTGACAAAGTACAGTATTTCTCAGTTGAATCAACTGGCACTAGCAGTTTGTAGGGAACTAGGGACAAAGCTACATTGCAGAGTTGAAGCAGTTATGAATGAAGTTTGCAATGCCTCACTATAAAATTGTGCACAATATAAATAATACAGCACTTCCATATTGTAATACTTGTAAGTCTTTTTCATGAAATATGTTTTTTAACCTATCTGATGAGATTGCCACATTTGACATTTATGTGAAGTTTGGAGGTTTCTTTGAAAATTTTAGCATTCCAACTTCGTATTGCTCCACCATCTATTAAAAAATGTTGAATCAAACAAGGTGTGAAACTGATTTGGGATGCAATTCCAGGTTAAACTTGTTTCAGCCAAACAAACAGTACTGGAACTGGAATTCCAGGCAAGTTCGTCAGCAACGTATAAAATGCACAAAGAGGAGGCAATGAAAACCACCTATCATGAAGATACTACCAGTACTGATGGATCAAACATGGATAAATACGATCCATGGAATCCTCCGTATCCTCCATGCCCTCCTGCTGTTGGAAATAGCTTAAGTGACTCTATCCGTTTAGTAGCTAAGGTGCAGTAACTAACCAACATTCTTTTTTGAACTTTATGGCATTTCTATCTTATCATGTTTGCTTTCCCTAGTATAGCTCTTGACGCTCCCCTCCCTCCCTTTGCAGTGGTCACGTGAGAAAGAAGCTGCAATTGGTGCCATCAGAGCATCCAGTATAATCTTCCCAGACCGCATCCCTAAGGTTCTCTGCATTTGAAAAAAATCATTTGGTTATTTATATTTTACATTTTTCCTGCAGTATTTTGTGTGTGTGCTACTTATGCAACATTTTTGTTTTATTGTCCTATAGTGCATTGCTTATTTCTTTTTTCTTTGCTAATCGAATTACTGATTTCCTTTCACCTCTTTTGATTCTGAATGGGTCAATTTAGGAGGTGAATCATGTCTTCCATGATAGAGTGCACCATTTGGCACCCATCCTGGATAAGGATAGCGTCCGGCGCTTTCTCCGCTTTATCTGGGGAAATGGGGCCGGCATGCAATGGGGTTCGATCATCACCCCAGAGGCTTTGAACCATATGATTGCACAAAATGCGGTAAAATGTGTCAAAGCTGCCTTGGAGGGTCAGGCACCTGAGCTTGATGGGTGCAGGGCCGGTCCCAACTGCATGAACCAGTATGGATACTATCCCCTCCACCGAGCTGCTGAATTTTTTTCGGTCGACATGATTCAGTTGCTCATCCGCCACGGCGCATCCGCCAATCTACGCACAGCCGGTGCTGAGGTCATCGAGGGCCTTCTCCCACTCCATGTTGCAGTCGAGAACACGTGCATGCACAAGTATCTAGAAGACAGTCTATTTCCTAACCATGAGCATCGGGATTACAGTGAGGCAGATGCCCACTTTATCTTCAAGCTCATCTATCTTTTGTGCCTACCTGAAATGGTTTGTATCCACCCATAAATCAAATTACTAATTCTCCAGTTCTGCAACATGGTTAAAAGAAGTTGGCATATACCTCGAACTTGAGGACCTTACTTTCTTTACGTCCATTGTCAAAGTCAGAATTGTTCCCAGCTAGAAAAGAATTTCAAGTGGCTGCAAACAAATTTGAAAATGTGTTTCTCTTTTGGTTGGAAGTGAGAACACAATTTTAAGTTAATCAGAACTGGCACATTGCCTATAAATTCTAAAAGGTCAGTTTTTGTCTATGCTGGTGGTTTTTGCAGAAAATCTTTTTGGATTCCACTAGGCTGATCGCAAAACACACAGATAATCTACTTGATGAGCTTTGGAATTACATAAAAGATGGAAAGCTTGCCGAGACAGCCGTTTTGCTACTGGCAGCCCAAGAGCAGATCCGTGTGGGAACTTCCTGTAAGAAAATTGGAAATAGTAAGGCAGATGGGTTTCAGGTTATCTACGAATGTATTATGGACAACAGTATCAAATTACAGTCTGAAAAGGGCCAAAACCTAATGGAAAAGGAGGAATTGGAGACAAAAATAAAGCTTCATCATACAGCAATGATGCTTGTTCATGTAATTTCCAAAGCTGGTGAAGGTCTTGAATCATACATTCGAAACCATCTAGAGGTATCACAGTGTTGGTAGTTGCAGTTACAATGCCTCTATTTTCTTCGCTTTACTAAAATTTGCATAGCTTCTTGGTAATTCCTGCATTATCCTGATATATATAGAATAGGAAATGCTAAAAATACTGTCAATTATTGAGATAAATAGCAAAATTTGTACTTTATCTAGAACATTTAAGTTTCTGGAAACTTGATGTTTCTGAAGTTTAGTTCAGTTTACACAAATTTTGGATAAGCAATGACACTCACCATTTGGAACCTGTCGAGGTTTTTGTGTTCAGTTAGATAACATGAAAACTACATTTCACCTTTGGGAAATCTAAACTAAACAATCGAGGCAAATTCAGAAAACTAAAACAAATATAGTTAAGGCAGAATTTGTGCTTCTGAACATGTATTTTTGTAATCAAATACATTCATATTACAATGTTATTTACCATTGAAACTATTCATTTTGCCTTTCCAATTTGTGATGTCTTACTTTCGTGTTTCCAATGTAAATAATTCTCTCTGTCATCCCTGAGTCATCTTTGATTATGTGATGGTGCTTATGGCATAGCTCATCTCTCACAAGTCAAAATTGTAATGCAGGCACCCCATTTCATGCAGGTGCCCTGTTTGGACGTCCTTGAACGTGTTTCATCGATTCTCAAGGATCACGGTTTTTCTCCTGCTCCCGAATGTGTAGACATTAGAAACCTGTATGCTTTTTACGCGTCAATTCCATTCTTCAACGATTATGGTTTTGCAATTCCAAAATTTACATACATATGCATAATTTGTGTGATCTGTGTTCTCCTACTTGTTCTTGAAGCTGCCCGTATCATGATGTGTTGTCAAGTGAGGAAATACCTAGAAAACCTGGTACGTGTCTGTCTTGTTTATTTTTTCGTGGTGTGTATTGATTTGAATTATTTATCTCAAAATTAGTTGGAAAACCCCTAATTATTTTATGATGGAAATCAGGGGAAAGTGTCGCAGACAGGGAAGCTCTAGAAATGGATTATCTACGCACAGTAGTGAACAAGGTAAAGATATCAAAATATCATGGCCAAAGATTTATTGTTTGATTTTGATGACCAGACCTCTATATATAAAACTTGTAAATTTGCACGCATTATTCAAGCTGAATTGATCTGACGCTCAATAGATATCCAAGCCGTGATCAAATTCTGTATAGTTCATCATATTTGTGGTAACCCAGGAAATTTACTTAATGCTAAAATACAATTGGATTTGTGAAACAAAGCAGCCAATTTAATATCTCAATGCCCTTCGGAAAAAAAATATCATCTAATATCTCAAGGCAGTGTTGCCGCTTGCTGGTAGGCTTCACTGAAACATGTTATGTTTTGAGGTTTCTAACATTTAGATCTTTATTGACGTTCAAGAGCCAGGCTGCAAGGAGGAAGAGAAAACCGAGACGATGGGAGCACAAACTCGCCAGGAGAAGCTTCTTCCCATGGTGGAGATCGGTGTTATCTGCCCGGTCTAAAGTCAAGATCATGCCCCACAAATGGGCATGTCCTTCTGAATGCTTGGATCTCAAGATGGCTTGGAATAAACCCGTTGAACGCCTGGATGGCGAGACAGCTTCGAAGAAGGCAACCGCCCAGCAGGATGGTTCTGCTGCTGCAGCTCCCGGCTCGATGGGTCGAGTTCCCATGGTAGTATATAGTAGCAAGCCCGGTGAGTTGTTTACTGTAATACCGCTCGATGATATACCCAAATACATGAGGCGACACAGAAGGCAATCCAGAAGGCTGTTTAGTACAGCGGTTACTTATCAGCCCAGGATGGTGATTGGTGCAGCGGTTAATTCTCAGCCCAGACGGCTGTTTGGTACAGCGGCATCGATGCTGCTCAAAGTGCTGAAGAGGGCATGAGGAGTAGTATAGAAAGGCAAGGCCACCTTGCATGCTGGTTTTCTTGTTCAAGTTTCTGAGCATGCTCGTGTTATGCAAGGCACCCTCCTAAATAACAGACATACTTATATGCGTATGCTGTATGTAATGCCTCTGTGGAGTATATCCTGTATTCGCTAATTCTTTTCTCGAGCATTGTTCTCTTAATCCCGGTTGTCAATCGTGAATTCCTGTTAGCGCCCATACCGTAACAATGAGAACCTTAACTGTATACTCCCATAGAATAACTTTCTCCGGTTGTTTCAATTCAAGAGTATAGTTGTTTCAATTCAAGAGTATAGTTCAGACGGTGTTGAGCCGATGGTCTCGTGTGCTTGTCGTATTCGCTAATTCTTTTCTCGAGCATTGTTCTCTTAATCCCGGTTGGCAATCGTGAATTCCTGTTAGCGCCCATACCATAACAATGAGAACCTTAACTGTATACTCCCCTAGAATAACTTTCTCCGGTTGTTTCAATTCAAGAGTATAGTTGTTTCAATTCAAGAGTATAGTTCAGACGGTGTTGAGCCGATGGTCTCGTGTGCTTGCCGTCTGTTCGGGGCGGTAAGCTTTGTTGCGTGGGTTGATTGGGCGCAGACAATACTCTGACAGAAGTTCAGAGTCAATTGGGTTCAGTTTTTGCTGGCTCAGCTGCACGCCATGGACACCTTGAATGCTATCTCACGTGTGTTGTGCTGCTTGCCTCCCTCCACCTGATGCCGATAAACATCTGACGCCAATTCCCGCCGATGTTCAGCAATTGCTCATGAATATATGCTTATCCACAGGAAATTGGATTTGTTTTTGTTTATTTTCAAACGAACATCCAACAGCAGCATGACCTCCCAGGAAGAAAGCAAAAGAACAGAAAAAGAACAAGGCAACAAAGAAACTTCTGTGATCTCTCGATGGATTATAGACCACAAAACACGCAAAGAGGTGTGCGCTTTCGGTAACAGAAATATCGCCCGCTTCAACAAGGGGGGTGACAAACACAATTCCATCACATAAGTTGCAGCACCGTACACGTTGTATGATAATCAAATCCACTCGATGGTGAAACTACATTGGTCTGATGATAATTACTAATGCAGCTAGAGGCAGAATGCGGGACATCTATGGCTCGACGGTAGTCACTTGCTGCCATTCACCGTCAACGGCTTCTTTCCAGAGGGTCACATTGTTGTTGCCATCGGAGACCGCCAGGATGTTGCCCGTCAGCGACCACGACAGCCTCCAAAGAGGGGTTCTGAAATCATTGAGGACCCTGCCTTCCCACTGCTCACCTTCCTTCGGTGCGGTCCAGATGACGACGGTTCCATCCTGAGAAGCGCTGGCGATTGTGGACTTTGGGAGGCCTAGGTTTGGTGCCCATGCGACGTCTCTCACCCAGTCCCTGTGCATCTGAAGGGCGGGGAAGCAGTCCATCCTCCAACTCCCGTTGGTGAGCTTCCACACCTTCACTGTGTTGTCGCAGCCACCAGAAGCAAGTTTTTGAACATACTCGAACTGCCCAGAAGGCCCTGGACTGATTAGAGCACCCGGCGCCATTGATGGGGCCCAGGAAACAGAGGTGACGCCCACTGGATGTGCCTGGTCGATGCGCGTCGTCTCCCACCCTCCATCAGAACGAGCCATGAAGACAGAAATGTTCCCATCAGATGAACCGCAAGCCAAGCATAGGCCGAGCTCGTGAGGCGCCCAAGCAATGGAATTGACAGAAGACTTGTGCTCATTGAAAGTGTGTGCCTGTGCCCACTCATCGGGCTTACTCCCTTCTTTCCATATGATGACCCGACCATCATAGCTGCAGGATGCAAGCATTGAACCATACTTGGGATGAGCCCATGCGATTTGCCAGACTGGGCCCTCGTGTCCGCTCAAAGTAGCAAGTTGCTGGTGCGAGGTGCCACTTACGCCAATGATCTTGATTGTGTTATCAGAGGAGGCAGTGGCAATACGCTTCCCGTAGTAATCCATTGCGATGTCATGCACCACATCTTGGTGGCCAGTCTCTATCTTATGAGGCGGCATTGTTCCAAGTATGCATCAGCTTTAAAGTAGTAACCAACTGTTCTGTCCTGACCACTTCAGGCTCCTATCTGCCAGTAATATAAAACTAATGTTTAGAGGACATCGAGTTAAAGAATAAAGAAAAAAATTATGCAGTATACAGTTCACTGATACAAGTAGCATAGTTGCATTTCACAACATAAGGAGCTGAGTGTGTTTCATGTTACAGTCAGAAGTTATAAAAATTATGATATTACAATTATAAGTCATAACAATTTTGGTACACAAGATACATAAACTACCTTGCTACCAGCATGCCAATACAATTTTTCCCTAAAATAACAAAATGATATCTGACTGCTTATTATAATCATGGTGATCACAAGTATAAACCTGTCTGACTAATACTTAGATATCCTGTGAACCAAAATAGCCTAATAAACAAGGAGTTCTAGGCAACAATATACCAAGATACTACTGGGAAATTCAAGGAAGAGATTTAGACATCCCCAGAAGATAGAACTATCTTCCAAGTGTTTAACTTATTTCTCTTCTCCCATAGTGTACATGCATGGCATGGCATGAGATGGTATTATTTAATCACATGGTCATGGAAATTGTGATTCGCAACAAAACAGTGTCCAGCTAGTTGACAATAATAGAACTAAATATTGTTCACTTTGAACATCTTATAACAAAGGACAAGACAGCAATAAGCCCGTGGCACGAGAACTACAAGCTATTTTACTTCACAGAAATCAACACTTCACAGTAATTAAGAATTCAGAAGACAGTACCATACTACCATCAACATCGAAACTTCTTAGAAAGTATCATGCACTATTTGGAGATGCAATAAGACGGTGCATAAAGTAGAAATATAATATTTGCAACAATCAAACAACCGATGTTTAGTAAAATGAAATTTAAACATACCACAATAGGCTAAAATAGATAATGCTCCAGTAAACACACGAAAAATAAGACGGCTTGAGTTGAAAGTTCAAATAAGCATAATCAGTTGAACCAAACAAACAGACATTGGTGGACAGCAAGCATATGTGAATCATTCAACAAGGCCGTAACAGCTAGCACAGATTAGACAGTTCATACATAATATAATTCCAAAAGAACATTAAATAAAACAAGCATCAAGGACATGAAGAACCAGCATACACATGAGCTATTGTCCATACATAAACTAAAAGTCTAAAACACATATAATAATTGAAGCATGACTAAGCCGATTCACGAAATAGAAGAAAGGACCTGTTAAAGTCTAAAGTACATTCTGAAATGTTTCTTATCACAGGCACAGAACCCTCTCCTATTACTGTTAAATCAACGTATTCATGATCCATAATACTCTCAGAATTAACAGTGGCCTTTTGGTGCAGAAAATTGCAAGATTGAGCTGTAACAAACTGATGCATCTCCACATCTGAAGGCTGAAACAAAGTGGCAATTGAGAAGCTCTGGTGTAACACCTCTCACTAACCTGCAAATTACTACACCCTCAGAGGTCCTCAATCACAGGTTAGTGTCTACATGGATCAGGCAAGCAGCTTCTAAGCTACACATTTGGATTAAAGCTCCAAATGCATTCTCTAGGATCAAACTGCCAAAACGTCTTACATTTGGGAACAGAGTAGTAGTTCATTCCTTCCCTATAACTTTAGTCGGAGCAAGAACAGATAACTAGTACCGTGGAGTTGCTAGTATGAACTTTTAATTTCTCCTGGGGGACTCAACCGATTTGTTAATTGCATCGACCATCAAGCGAAAAAGGCCTCACAAGATCTTCAGGATCACCCCACTGCCTTGCTCATTCGTCTCGCCGACTAGTTCGGCCGTTGTTACTGCTGGCTTGGACCCCCACCCCTCTGTCTGTTGTAACTCTGCCGTTTTGGGCTTTTTAATATGATGAAAATTCAGGTGGGGAATCTCTACCCCCGGTGACAATTCAAACAAAAGGCCTCACAAACATCTCTCGGAAAAAAGATCATGCAGTTACCTCGATCTTCTTGCGGCAGGCTGAAGGCTGCAGAGTTGGGGAGGAGTTGTCGACGGCGTCAGCCGCAACCGGCGGAGGTCGGCGTCAGGGGTCGGGGAGGCGCAAACGGAGCAGGAGCGGGAGGCGCGAGCTGGGAGGCCGACGGCGAGGAGGGGCTTGCTCGGCGGCCAAAGAGATCGACGGCAGGGGGTGGCGCGTGCTCGATGGGGGAGGGGGGCCGGAGTCAGACCCGCATCTGGATCTGGTTTAGGTTTTCTCTCAAGAACAGATGAATAAAGGGGTTCCGAAACAACACGTGCTCGGAGAGACTAATGATATTGCCTGTCAAGTCCTAGCTTCTGGTAGTTTTTTTCTGGATTTATTTCAGGTGTCTGCCGATGTTCTTTTTAGTGGGAGAAGACGTTTTCGTCGACTAGGAAGACATTTTAGTGATTTTGTCAATCTCAAGAGATGTGTTGACTCAAGTCTCTCAAAGCGGTGTGCGTGTGTTCATACGAATTGAGTATATATGCATATGTATGAGCATCTGTCGGGAGAATATCTCCCGGTGCTCCAAACTCGATAGCACATTTTAAAATGTTTGAAAATTTTTGGAAAAAAAAATCTAGCACATAGACACAACACAAATGCATCTTGTCACAAAAATTGAAATCAAAGTTCAAAACATAGCTTAAGAAATATAAATGACAAATTCGACAGTAAATAGTACACAACATAAGTTGGGCTCTAGATTTGGCCCATTATCACATTGATGTCGGTTTTGTCATTTTTATATCTCGAGCAATGTTTTGAATTTTAATTTAAATTTTTTTGACAACATACATTGATGTTCTGTAAATGTGCTAGGATTTTTTTCAGAATTTTTTGAACATTTAAAAATGTGCTACTGAGTTTGGAGCATCAAGAGCACTCTAGAAATGGGAGTACCAGATATTCTTTCGGAAAAAAAAGAAGCAATGCAAGCGAGATACACTATGGCACTTACACAATGTGCCTTCAAATAGGCAAGCGGAAGAGAACCGCTTGGCCTGGTAACCGCACCAGTCATTAGATTTCAAAAAATTCACTACACAAAACTGGCAGGGAATCATCCTCCACGTGGCAAAAGAATCACGTCATCAACACATAATCGTGTGTCACACATGGTAATCAAGGTATCATGTGTTGGGGAACTCAGCAATTTCAAAAAAATTCTACGCACACGCAAGATCATGGTGATGCATAGCAACGAGAGGGGAGAGTGTTGTCCATGTACCCTTGTAGTCCGTAAGCGGAAGCGTTATGACAACACGGTTGATGTAGTCGTACGTCTTCACGATCGACCGATCCTAATACCGAAAGTACGACACCTCCGCGATCTGCACACGTTCGACTCGGTGACGTCCCACGAACTCACGATCCAGCAGAGTGTCGAGGGAGAGCTTCGTCAGCACAACGGCATGATGACGGTGATGATGATGCTACCGGAATAGGGCTTCGCCTAAGCACCGCTACGATATGACCGAGGTGGATTATGGTGCAGGGGGGCACTGCACACGGCTAAGAGATCAATGATCAACTTGTGTATCTATGGGGTGCCCCCCTCCCCCGTATATAAAGGAGTGGAGGAGGGGAGGGCCGGCCCTCTCCATAGCGCGCCCTAGGGGGAGTCATACTCCCACCGGGAGTAGGATTCCCCCTCTTCCCCTAGTAGGAGTAGGAGAGAAGGAAGGGGAAGAGAGAAGAAAGGAAGGGGGGCCGGCCCCCACCCAATTTGGATTGGGCTAGGGGGGGCTCCTCCTTGGCCTTCCTTTCCTCTATTCCAATAAGGACCAATAAGGCCCATATACTCCCCGGGGAGTTCCGGTAACCCCCGGTACTCCGGTAAATGCTCGAACTCATCCGAAATCATTCCGATATCCAAACATAGGCTTCCAATATATCGATCTTTATGTCTCGATCTGAGACTCCTCGTCATGTCCGTGATCATATCCGAGACTCCGAACTACTTTTGGTACATCAAAACACATAAACTCATAATACCGATCGTCACCGAACGTTAAGCGTGCGGACCCTACGGGTTCGAGAACTATGTAGACATGACCGAGACTCATCTCCGGCCAATAACCAATAGCGGAACCTGGATGCTCATATTGGTTCCTACATATTCTACGAAGATCTTCATCGGTCAAACCGCATAACAACATACGTTGTTTCCTTTGTCATCGGTATGTTACTTGCCCGAGATTCGATTGTCGGTATCTCAATACCTAGTTCAATCTCGTTACCGGCAAGTCTCTTTACTCGTTCTATAATGCAACATCCGTAACTAACTCATTAGTCATATTGCTTGCAAAGCTTATAGTGATGTGCATTAGCGAGAGGGCCCAGAGATACCTCTCCGATACACAGAGTGACAAATCCTAATCTCGATCTATGCCAACTCAACAAACACCATCGGAGACACTTGTAGAGCATCTTTATAGTCACCCAATTACGTTGTGACGTTTGATAGCACACTAAGTGTTCCTCCGGTATTCGGGGGTTGCATAATCTCATAGTCATAGGAACATGTATAAGTTATGGAGAAACTAATAGCAGTAAACTAAACGATCAAAATACTAAGCTAACGGATGGGTCAAGTCAATCACATCATTCTTTAATGATGTGATCCCGTTTATCAAATGACAACTCTTTGTCCATGGCTAGGAAACTTAACCATCTTTGGTCAACGAGCTAGTCAGGTAGAGGCATACTAGTGACATTCTGTTTGTCTATGTATTCACACATGTACTAAGTTTCCGGTTAATATAATTCTAGCATGAATAATAAACATTTATCATGATATAAGGAAATATAAATAACAACTTTATTATTGCCTCTAAGGCATATTTCCTTCATCATGATTGTACCACGGCTTCCCCATGCTCATCGCCCCATTGATGGCAGCGACTGCAGTCCACCACGCACACGCCTTGCGCGGAGCTTGAAGCATACTCGCCGAAGGTTTTTGCTCTGCTTTATATGA